TTTACCATTGCAACAAAAAAATTTAGATACTTGGGAATAAACTTAACCAAGAAGGTAAAAGGCCTGTACACAGAAAACTACAGGATGTTGCAAAAAGAGATAAAGATATAAACAAGTGGAATAATATACAGTGTTCATAGATTGGAAGAATGAACATCATTAAAATGTCCATACTACCCAAAGCAATCTATAAATTCAATGCAATTCCTATTAAAATACCAACAGCGTATTTCACAGATCTAGAACAAACACTTCAAAAATTTATATGGAGCCAAAAAAGACCCTGAATAGCCACAGCAGTCTTGAGAAAGAAGAACAAAGTTGGAGGGATCAGAATACCAGATATCAAGTTATGCTACAAAGCCACTGTAATCAAAATAGCTTGATACTGGCATAAGAACATGTATATAGATAGGTGAGTGGAACAGAACAGAGAAGCCAGAAATTGACCCATGCCATTACGCTCAATTAATATTTGACAAAGGAGGCAAGAACATACCATGTTGTAAAGACAGTTTCTTCAATAAATGGTGTTGGGAAAACTGTACAAGGACATGCAAAAAAAGAAGAAAAGAAAAAAAAGAAAAAAAGAAACTAGACCACTAACTTACACCATACACAAAAATAAACTCAAAATGGATAAAAGACCTAAATGTAAGACATGAAACCATAAAAATCCTAGAAGAAAACATAAACAGCAAAATCTCAGATATCTCCTGTAGCAATATGTTTGCCAATACATCTCCTAGTGCCAGAGAAACAAAGGAGAAAATAAACAAACGGGACTACGTCAAACTAAAAAGCTTCTGCACAGCAAAAGAAACCATCAACAAAACGAAAAGGGAGCCCACTATATGGGAGAATGTATTTGCCAATGACACACTGGATAGAAGGTTAATATCCAAAATATATAAGGATCTCACACAACTTAACAAAAGGAAGACCAACAATCCAATTAAAAAATGGGCAAAGGACCTAAATAGATACTTCTCCAAAGAGGACATACAAATGACCAAAAGACAAATGAAAAAATGCTCAAAGTCACTAATCATCAGAGAGATGCAAATTAAAACCACAATGAGATATCACCTCACACCTGTCAGAATGGCTGCCATCAACAAACCAACAAACAACAAGTGCTAGTGAGAGTGTGGAGAAAAGGGCACCCTAGTACACTGCTGGTGGGAATGCAGACTGGTGCAGCCACTATGGAAAGCAGTGTGAAGTTTCCTCAAAAAATTAAAAATGGAACTTCCATTTGACCCAGTGATCCCACTTGTAGGAATATATCCTAAGAAACCCCAAAAAGCCAATTAGAAAGAACTTATGTACCCCTATGTTCATAGCAGTGCAATTTATAATAGCTAAGATCTGGATACAGCCCAAGTGCCCATCACTAGATGAGTGGATAAAAAAGCTGTGGTACATTTACACCAAGGAATACTATGCAACTGTAAAAGAGAAGGATCTCCCACCCTTTGGGACAGCAAGGAGGGAACTGGAGAGTATTATGCTAAGTGAAAGAAGCCAGTCAGAGAAAGACAAGTATCACATGATCTCACTCATATGTGGAATGTAATAGAATAAACTGATGAACAAAATAAATCCAGAGACATAGAAGCATGGATCAAACAGGGATTTCAGAGGGAAGGTAGGGGTGGGAGAGATTAATCAAAGAACTTATATGTTTATAAACATAACTCATGGGCACAGACACTGGTCTGGCCAAGGCCTGGGGGTGGGGTGGATGCGGAGTGGAGGGGATCAATGGGGCAAAAAGAGGCCATCTGTAATACTTTCAACAATAAAGATAAATTTAAAAAAAAGCATATTGGCAGCCATAAAATAAATTTAAAAAATAAAAATAAATAAATAGAGATGCTGGGTACTATGTTTTTCTTATCTGACAAAAAACATCATAAGTAATAGTAATATAATAACTATAATAGAATGGTAGTAATAAGTAAAAAAAAAATCTATATTTAACTGGGCACTAATGATATTAAGTGGGAACTTTACAATAAGATGAAAAAATGGGCCCCTAATTAATTTCAGTGTGAAATTTCCAAATTAGTAACCTATATGTTTTTCAGTTTATGTACTACTTTAAATTAATCAAACTATTTAATGACACAACTGTTGATTCATCCTGGTCCTTGCTGAAGTAATTTAAAAACATTTGTGAATTAAAATTTATTGCCAATTATAGATAAGTAGTAATGAAGGTGGAAAAGATTAGCTTTAAACTATGAAATTTGTTAAGAAACATGAAAACAAGATCTGAATTTATTATATGCTATTATCAAGAACAATTATTAATCTTTATACAGAAATAAAATATTTATGTAATTCAGATTGTAGATAATATGAGCACCTTTCAATTTACATAATGAAGTAGCCCATTTCCCTGATGTGGAGTTCGTCATCCTAGCAAATTCTACACTAGTGCCATAAGAATTCATGAGTGAGAAAACCCACAAACATTTGAACATCAAATGTAGTCCATAAAAAAATAGAAAAAGAAGTCTTTCATCCATCTCTGTTAAATTCTGAACCTTACTTTGCCCCCACATTGGGATCGAGCCCACAACCTGGGCATGTGCCCTGCTCAGGCATTGAACAGGCAACCTTTCGATGCACAAAACAATGCCCAACCAACTGAGTCACACTGGCCAGGGCCTCAGCCTTATTTTAAAGATTGGAGGTAAAACCAAGTAGTAAAAGCTGATCCATGGAATTTCTGTGACTCCTAAGTGGCTCTTTTTCTTTGATAACTTGATGCTAGAAATATATGTATGTTGTAGTCCAAAATAAACTAACCCATATAATCTAAAACTGGGCATAATAATTCCTTTTATATGCTTATACACAGAAAGAATAGGTTGCTTTTTAAAAGTGGCATAGAAAATGATGAATTATTGCTTATTTTTGTAATCTTGATAAGTGAAAATATCATTGTTTTGAAACCCAGGTAGAGGACTCGTTTTTATCATCAGTCAGAAGAAAAAACATCTTTCATAAAATTGAATACCTGCCTATGAATTCTCAGTCTGTGTTCACATGGATTTGAGGACCTCAAGTAAACCACTGGAACAGGATAGTAATCTCCTTAGACAAGATCTAGGGGTAATTAACAAAGCCTGACCCACACACATCCTACTGTGTATGATAGCTTCCCTCTAGCTCAGGAATTCTCAAACTTTAACTTGTACCGGAGTCACCTGGAGGTGAATCACACAAACACAGCCTGATGGCCCCACTCATAGAGTTTCTGATTCAGTAGGTCTATGGTGGGGCTTGAGAATTTGCATTTGTAACACATTCTCAGGTGATGCTAATACTAGGGACCACAATGAGAACCATTACTCTGGCTTATATTCTATAAAAGTATTTTTTTAGACTACTTCTATATTTAGGCTTCTATGCCTTGGCAGTATTGTGTATATTGAACAGCCAGCCATTTAGACCACTTGTTAAAAAATGTGACCACTGGAATCCACACAGGCCACGTCTGAAGTCCACTGGGAGTGGGGTGGGGCTATTCTCTCTTATGGGGTCTGGTCCACTCATGGCCTTCCAGCTGTGTTCTTTTCACCTGCACTGCAAAGATTAATTTTGTTTTATTTACCCATTTGTGGGTTGGCTTTGCAGCATGTTTAGAAAGTACCCTTTTGCTAAAGGGAAGCTGGGAGCCAAGAAATCATGTAGAGGCCTACTCTAAAACCACATGTAGAGGACGCTGGCGTTGGATGGGGCATTGGGGTGGGAGTCTCTCAAGTAAGCCTTGCTTGGGTTCAAATGCCAGCTTGGATACTTCCCAGCTGTCAAAGCATTGTGTAGGGAGAGATAAAAATATCTCTGTGGGAATGAGAATCACAGAAAAGGTAGAGTTGGTGGTAGGAATAACAGATTTATTCAATTATCTGGGAGCAGTTGGTTGGTGAGGCTCAGCACAAGAACACCAGAACCACAGCTTTTCTGTATTAACTATAAGAGCAAGGAGGGAAGGCAAGAAAGAATTCTAGATTTTAGTTATAATAATAACTAGCCTTTGTTATGTGCTTATAATCACCATTTTACAGAGAGAAAGGGAGAGAGACTAACATTCTATATTGTTATTGAGTTTTGTAACTTTTTAAAAAAATATATCTTTATTGATTTCAGAGAGAGGAAGGGAGAGGGAGAGAGAGAGATAGAAACATCAATGATAAAAGAGTCGTCATTGATCAACTGCTTCCTGCACGCCCCCAACTGGGGATCGAGCCCGCAACCCGGTCATGTGCCCTGACTGGGAATTGAACCTCGACCTCCTGGATCCTAGGTTGCTGCTCAACCACTGAGCCATGCCTGGCCGGGCGTTGTTTTGTAATTTTAGATGAAAATCAGTTACTCATCAACCAAAATCCTCAAAATAACTATTACATTTAAAAATCCACTCTCAACTTACACCCTAACTGGGAAATTTCTCACTGCTATCATATTTATGGACAGCATGTACCCAAGAAGCTTAGTCCACCTTTCTCCAACTGCTTCTGTCTGCCCAGTATCAAAGCTGAGGGACCAGTCAACACATCAGAAATATTTCCAGAGAAACATAGAACCATGCAAATAATAAATGTGGAGAAAGAAGCATAAAACTAAAAATAAATTTCAAAAGATCCAATCTCAAATGAAAACTGAATCATCGAACCACAGAAAAAAATATGGAACCTTGTTTCCATTTCTTAGGTTACTTTGCCTGTTTTCTTTCATTTATTCTTTAGGAAAACCATACATATAGAACACTATGTTGAGATTTGTCATTCAGAAGACTATAAGCAGGAATATGAGTGATCTAATTCTTACATAACTTTTGGCCAAACTTTAGAAAATTGGGTCATGAAATGAAAGAAAGTAACACCTACATTGTCTGCTTGCTTGATAACATGCTTCAGCACTCTTCTAGTACCACCATGGTTTCTTCAAGAATGAAGCAATTCTATAAAAAGGACTGTTCTTACCCTCATCCTTCCATTTCTTATTGCTGGCCCATCTTCTGCCAATCTCAACACATATAAATCCATTTTGTATTCCCTTCCTCCACGAATGCTGAATCCAAATCCTTTGGCTCCTTTCTCCATGTCCACAGTGAAATAATCAAAATCCTTTGGGGCCAGGGAGAAAAATGGAATAAACAATCATTTAATATCAAAGAAGCTTCTGTAGCCAGTCCCTCTGTTCTCCTCCTCTCTCCTATAATGTGTTCCAAATGACACGATCTTGTGAGGTATAATCTGACTCCACAGTCCAGCAAAGTACAAACAAAGTTCCAAAGGTTTGAGCAGATCAGAACACAATTTACTTGGTCATTGGGAGAACTACTGTGTAGCTTGTTTACTTTGGTGTTCATCAGTTTACTTGATTAACATGCAATTACTGCATATAGGCCTGGGTGATATTTTCTCTCCTTTGAGTTTTTTCATTCATTGCTGTGGAGCAGTATAAATAAATGTACCAGTCCTGTGTATGTGCATACATGTGTGTGTGTGTATAAATTAGCTGTTTGCTGATTAGAAAAATAAAGTTTAATGGGGTCTTGACTACAACTCTCTGTGCACAAACTACCTGAACATCAAGTGGGAGTGTACACAATTAATTTGTCTTTTACATAAAATGCCATGTGTCCAAGATTTCCTAACCTTCATTGTTCTTAAAATTTGGGGTAGATAAGATGATCTTTAATCCTAAATAAAACACAATTAATTGGCTAGAGTTGAAATTGTATTTAATTTGTATCTTGGAATCTAGTTGCCAGGTATTGAATATTTATTAGATACCAAGCTCTGGTATAGGCGCTTTTCATAAATGATGAATTTATGAAATTCACAAATTTATGAAATTCCCCCCTTTAGGAAGCTGAAGCTCAGCGGGGTTACAGAAGTTGCCATAAGAGACATCTAACTTGAGCAAATAATTACAAGAATCACTGTTGTGTAGACAGGAACTGGGTGCTTGTTACAGGCTGGTTGCAGGCTGGGTGATGAAGCCAGGCCTGGCCTTATCTTTATGTATAGGGCCTTGGCCCTTTACCACCAAGTGGGAGGTAGGGGGCCATGCAAATAATTATGGATCTAAAATACCTCCATTGCTGACATCTGTAAAAGTCTCTGCATTAGTAGCACCCTCTGAGGTTCCAGGTAAGAGCATTTTTTTTTTTTTTTTCCAGTTTCGACAAGATAATATACTGGAAGCTAGCTAGCTAATATCAGTTCATCCTGTTACCACTCACCCACTGATTGCAGATTGATTGATTGATTGTCCTGCTTTATTCTGAAATAGATTTATCTATTCAGAGCCTTTTGAGGATGTGGGTGTTACCCAGATGATATCATAACTAAGAATAGAACTTGGGCTGCCTATCTCAGAAAGGTGTTCTTTCCTTTGCCTCCCATCCTACTTAATTTTTTTGTACTTCAGGAAGTGTTGGTCCTGGGCCCTCAATGATCCCATTGGCTGAGGTACCTGGGGCTGCCTGTAGTCTGACAGAGGGTACTGTCTGGTGTCGGGGGAGTGCTGCCTGTAGTCCAGCAGCGGAGGTTGCCTATAGTCCAAGGGTGGGGGTTGCTGGTAGTCCCCTCCTGGGGGCTGCCTGTAGTCCAGGGGTGGCTGCCTGTAGTCCGTGAATGGAGGCTGTCGGATGTCCGGTTTCACATCTTGTCTTGCTTTTACTTCTGACCTGTAACTAAATATATGGAAATGGGGTTTACTTTGGTGTCTCAGTATTCTAAGGAGGTAGAATGATTGAATGACCTTTGGGCACGCATGGGCCACTCCTCTTGGTGGTCCTTTTGCATGTTCAGGATTACAAGAAGATTAAATAAATAATAACTATTATTTTTCAATCTTTAACAAATGCCATATTGTATACTTTCCATTTGGCTCCTTAAGATATCAAGGTAAGAATGATGGCTCATCCAGAGCTTTGTGGAAAAGGACTTATGGATATCCCATTTTGACTTTGGCTATTTAAAAACTGTACTACTGAAGCAAATCTAGGAAGTTAAAGACCTAACCATACATCTCAAAATATCAGCCTGTTTTAACACCAGTAAACCAACTCTCTCTGCCTCTCTCTCCCTCCCTCCCCGCTCTTCCCCCCCCCACTTTGGCAGACCATTACTTCATGAAAACACAATTGACATGATCTCTAAATACTCTACAAATACAGAATTAAAGGCTATTTTAACCAGTTGGGTTTGGTCTTTTTTAATATCTTACAGAGGAATGATGATAGTAAGGTATAATCACCAACTACAAATCAAGTAGAAAGTCACTAGGTCATTGTGACAATAGAAACATATCATGTAGAATTTGAATATGAGATTACAGCTATCAAATAAGTATCAGATACTATCATGGTCATAAAAAAGTAGGAAAGGCAAAAATGTTTAATGTTCAACATTTGTCTTTTTCTTATTTCTAGATATTAGTTATTAATAAAATAAATATAGAAATCAGAACTAGTTGTTTAGTGCTGTTTTGTGAATCCAACTTCTCTAAACTGAGGGGATTCACAGTTCCAAAAGGAGACTAAAACAGCCTATTCCTACCATTAAGGGGTCATGAATATGGTAAACTGAAAAATTATCACCGTAGAGGAATACTTAATTCTGTAGTTCACTGCCTATTGCCACAGTAACAGTCTATAAGCTACTTAGGGATATAGGTAGATTGAAAAAAAATACATAAGCCAGAGAAGGACAACTACCATATGATCTCACTTATATGTGGAATCTAATGAACAAACTAAACTGACCAACAAAGTAGAAAGAGAGGCATGGATACATGGAGCAGACTGACAGCTGTCAGAGGGAAATGGGGAGAGGGGGGGACTGAGTGAAAGAAGGTGAAGGGATTAACCAAAGAACATGTATGCATAACCCTAGGACACAGGCAGTAGTGTGGTGATAGCCAGAGGGAAGGGGTGGTGGGGCTGGGTGGAGGTGAGCAAAGGGGCGAGGGGAATGGGGACATCTGGACATGTCAACAATAAAAATAAAGTGAAAAAATATATCCTGTATAATAACAATTTTTTATAAAATTAATGTGGAGGATTTGAAGAATTGTGAAAATATTTAGTACCAAGGAAAAACTCAAATGTGTCAGGAAAACAGCTTCAAAACCAGGTGAATGTTTACCTTTAAGACTAGGGCACTTTTTTGTTTGTTTTACTGGCTTATGGTCTCACTGATACTGATTATACTAAATATTTTAAAAAATCACTCACATGAACAATTGCCATCAGTGTATAACCTAATATTTGGTGAAGACATACTGAAAGTATACAACAATAGATGTACCTACTTGAGGTCTTTGGAAGGGGGTTAGTAATGTAGTTATTTTATTTTTATTATTTATTTATTATTTATCCTCACCCAAGCAGTGAGGATATGTTTTCCATTGATTGTAGAGAGAGCGGAAGGGAGGAGGGAGAGTGAGAGAAGAGGAAAGAGAGAGAAACATCAATGCAACGGAGACACATTGATTGGCTGCCTCCCACACAAGCCCTAACTGGGGGCAGGGATTGGACCTGCAACCCAAATATGTGCCCTTGACGTGTAATCGAACCCGCAACCCTCTGGTTCCCAGGCCGATGCTCTAACCACTGAGCCACGCCGGCCAGGGCTATTTATTTATTATTGAATTTATTGGGATGACATAGGTTAATAAAATTATATGGGTTTCAGGTGTACCATTCTATAATACATCATCTGTATATTGTATTGTGTGTTCACTACTCCAAGACAAGTCTCCTTCCATCACCATTTATCCCCTCATACCCTCTTCTACCTACTTTCCAACCCTCTCTTTCCCTCTGATAATCACCATATTGTTATCTGTGTTTACGAGGGTTTTTTTCCTTCTTAATCCCATCATCTCTTTCACTCAGCCCTCCAGTCCCCCTCCCCTCTGACAGCTGTCAGTCTGTTCTCTATGAGTCTGCTTCTAATTTTTTGTTAGTTTATTTTGTTCATTAGAATCCACATATGAGTGAAATCCTGTGGTACTTGTCTTTCTCTGACTGGCTTATTTCACTTAGCATAATGCTTTCCAGGTCCATCCAATCAGTCACAAAGGGCAAGATGTCCTTCTTTTCTTACTGTTGAGTAGTATTCCATTGTGTAAATGTACCACAACTTCTTTCTCCACTCATCTACTGGTGGGCACTTGGGCTCTTTCCAAATCTTGGCTATTGCAAATAATGCTGTAATGAACACAGGGGTACATATAGTCTTTCGAATTAGTGTTTCAGGTTTCTTGGGAAGTAATGTAGTTATTTTAATCAACACTTTGAGTAGGTACCATTTGGTACTTAACCTGCAGACATGACATTTCTTTTGTGAGTTGCATAATTTAGGCTTTGCTTTGTACCTCAGCAAGTTGTCCACTTACCTACTAAGAGTGTGCATGCTGAGAACAGAATTATTTAAAATACTCTTTGAATAAGATGCTTATCTATGCAAATGCATGAATTAAACACAAAAAAGAACAGAGTGCCATCTGTTTGTGTGTGTCAGTGCCTTTCTAGAAATAGTTTGCTTGGTGGTTTAGATGTCACACTGTTTTAAGTTATAGCACAGTCACTTTATTTTCATTATCAATGTGGCCTTGGTATGAAATATCCGTTATGAGCTCTATTGCCAACCAGATGTGTCACAAGGTATAGCAAAAGGGGGTAAAATGTAAGAGTCTCCTCAAAGATGACAGAAATACTTAGAAATAGGAACCAGTTAAAACTTGTAACAGCTGTCACCCAAGCCTACCTTCTAGCACTCAAACATCCTTCTACACCAGTACCCTGTGTCAGGATGTTATGTTGAGATGCACATTGAAGAATTCTTTAATTAAAAAAAAACTATGCTAAATTTTTTAAATCAATGTTATTAACTTTTAAGTGAATAGTACACTCATTAGGGCAAAAGTTATTTTGCTTTGAATTTGTAAAACAGTTTATTTTATTTTAAGAAAAATTCAGGATTATTATTTTTTTAAATAGCATCTTTAAAATTTCTTTGCTTATGAAAGAATGTCATTAGTGTAACTCTATGTAGCTTTTAATTCCATTGCCAAAGAGACTAGAGATGATAAAACCACATGGCTAGTGATAAATTCTAGCAGAATTTTATGGTATGAAAAAGTTTCAGAACCAAAAATCCCTGCCCACATGGTAGGGGATCTTATGGTGGGATATGGCTCCATGTGGGCCTTTCAAGAATTCTTCCAGCTTTAAGCATCTAAGGTTCAAGGTCTGTGAAAGAAGTCAATTTCCAATGCTCTTCCACTGACCTTGCTATTTAAAAGGCTTTCAAACATCAATTGCCCTAGCTGGGGAAGCTCAACTCTGCTACTTATGCTTAGTTTGGAAATATATTTCCTAACGGCTCTTTTGTTTTCAACAAATGCTTCTCCTTGAATAGTGTTTTGCTTATGTTCATATAAAATTATTTTGTGTTTCTTGAGCAAAAACAAAAAGGATGTGAAGGGACAGAGAAAAGAGTAGAGGTGTCAGTTGGAAGCCAATCTAAGAGTAAATAAGAGGACAATATTCACTCACTCTAGCTTATAAAATAAAAAATTGCAAGCAGATTGTCATTTTATTTGATCCCACTTTAACATGGGAACTGGTTCAATTTGACATGTAGGTGGGCACATCTTGTACAAATGAACTAATAGGAAATTCATACTGTGCACTTGGCATACACGCCGTCTTGGAGACATCTCCAGCCTAAAAAAGGGCAGTTTTCCCTTGATACCACACTCATCTTTAAATGCAGCTAGGGAAATGGTTCTGGTATCTGTAAGATTGTTGAATCTCTAATTCAGATGCAAATTAGCCACTCACTAACAATCAGAGTTAAGCCAGGATTCCTGAGAGGCAGGATAGGGCCCTAGAATTGAGTGGGCACTTTCCAGGCTTTTAATATTATTGAAGCAAAAACAGCTAAGAACTCTGGGCAAATTTGTTGGTGATTTATACAAATTTGGATCAGGTCAATCTATTAATCCTAGAGTTAAAAAATACTTTATTCTGTAGCCAGGCAAAAATATATACAAAACCTCTTGTGAGCTAGTAGCATATGGGGACAGAATAGTGGCCTCCGGCTGAGCTATAACACACCTGGATGAGATTACCCACCCAAAGGCCAGAAGCAAGAGCCCATCTCCAGGGCAGTCTGACTCTGGAGAGGTTAAGATGGAATTGTGACTGGGAGGTAGATTGACAGTGGCAGAGCCAAGAGTCTGAATCTGGCTCAGCATCTGCTGGAGCGCTCAGGTCCTTCCTCCTGAGTCTGAAATGAATCCTGGGGAGAGCCAGTGCAATCTGTCGAAACAACACACGGTGAAAGCGAACACATCTGGACCTTATTACTGAGGCACCCAGGACTTACTCCTATTCTGGATTGTCAAATTCTTACCTCTGTATTGTTGCCTTATGGGGTTTAAACAGCTGAGGACAACAAACACTTTTCTATGAAAGCAAATGGGGGAAATCAGAATAGAACAAGGCTTTATGGAAATAACACCTGCAGCAGAGGGAAAATACTTGCTTTGCAACAGTGGGAGAGATGAACCTAGAGAGTTCTGGGACTGAAAAACTGGGTCTCACTTCATCTTCCCCAACATGGGAGGCAGGAAATGGGAAGCAGATGTTCAGAAAACGTTAGAATGATGGAAAAGACCTGCGACAGTTTTGTATTCAGAGACGTTCCCGTGGGCTGTTCTGTTTTTCCTCTTTGAAAGGGGAAGACAATGGGAACATGCCTTCATCTCTTTCTTTAATGGCTCAACCTAACCCAGGCTCCCGGTTACACACAAGTCACAATGAAAAGATAGTGTGGGCTGGGTGAAAAAGGTGAAGGGGTTAAGAACCCCCCCCAAAAACCCTCATAGATATAGACAACGGCATGGTGATTATGAGAGGGAAAGTAGGGTGGGGGGAGGTAGAAGAGGGTACAGGGGGGATAAATGGTGGTGGAAGGAGACATGACCTGGGGTGGTGAACACACAATACTATATATATATGATGTATTATAGAATTGTACACCTGAAACCTATATAATTTTATTAATCACTGTCACCCCAATAAATTCCATTGAAAGAAGATAATGTGGGTTTTGTATGCCACCCTTTTTTCTGAAAGTTTAAAGTAACTTATTCATATTAGTTAATAATATGAAATGGAAGAAACGAATTAGATCTTGAAAAGCAAGTCCAATGATGTCAGTCCTCAGCTTAAACGCCCTAATGACTTCTCACTACACTGAAGATCAAAATCTTTAGCATGCCTACAAGACCCCAGGGCAGGCCCCTACCACCCTCACTTGCTTCACCTCTGCCTCCCTACATTGGCCTTATTTCCCTCCTTCAAGCCAGCAGGCTCCCTCCTGCCTAAGGGCCTTTGATGTGCTCTTTGCTCTGCTTGGAATCTCTAAAGTGCTCTTCAGCTATTTGCCCCTACTCATCTGCAATTGCTCATCATTTTTCAGGAAAAGTTTTCTTGTTGTAAAGGACAGGCACTCATATTTACTAATAAAACCACACTTATACACATGACCTCAAAATTACAGAAAGGTCCACATGGCAATTCCCATTTCAATGAAATCTCTCTTCTGCCTGTGTCCTAACTCTTTCTCTTCCCACCTCCCTCACCACTCAGAACCAGAAAAGCCAGAGGAAACATTACCTGTTTTCATGTCCTTGCAGCTGAAGTGGCTGAGGAGGGGCTGGTTGGGTGACAGGGCTGTTGGGGGTGGCTGGACTTGGCTGGGCCAGAGGGCTCTGCTGGGCAAGGGGGCTGTGCTGCTGCGCCATAGGGCTTTGCTTCTCTGAGCTGGGTGCCGAGGCAGGGCTGTTGAGCTCTGAAATGGGAACCAAAGTCGCAAATGTGGTCAGGTTGATGTTGATGAAGGACAAAAGGTGGCCAGAGGCAGATACTCTTTGCATCCTCAGATGACTCAAGGCTTTGGTTATTTCAGTTTCTGTTGGGCTTTCAGATAGCAACTTAAACTTATCAAGTTCCAATATCACTCCCAGAATTAGTGTGTTTTCCTTAATTAAAGAGTTGCTGAACAAGGTATGAACAGAGTCTCTTGTCATTTTGTCAGAAGAAAATATTACAATAAAAAACCCATTAAAACTATGAAAAAAATTTAAAGGAGTAAGCTCTAAAACATATGCTATTTTTCTAGTAAGAAAGATAACATTTAGCTGTTACTTTTTGGTTGTAATGAGAAGTCTTAGGTCTGGATAAGGAACTAACAATAATAAAAGTAAGCGCTTTCTATAGTCTTCTTTCCAGTTTCTTGTCCGTCTTATTGCTTAATAACCCTCTCTATTCCATAGTTCTCCATAAAGAAAAAAAAACAACCCAAACCCAAAACAAACACAACCACTGGACAAAGGAAGGGAAATTAAGTTGTTTGTTAAAACTGCTTCTTGAAATTTCTGGTACTAGCATCAAATTTTCAACAGAAATTATTTCTCTATATTAGAATAAGAGCAGGACAGACATATTTCAGACTGGGAAAATGGTGAAGTGAAGCTTTTAGTGAGAAATCTTGCTTAAAGTTAATTCCCATTGAATATTTTATACATAATGGTGTCTGCAGGTAGGTTAAAAAAAAAACACCCATGGTCATGTTCTGTTCTTTTTTTTTTTTTAGTTGAGTGATAAAAGGGAGGTTACCTATGAGCATTTCCTTAAAAACCATTCTTCCCTTTCTTTTCTCACAGCCCCAATTTTAAATTCCTTCTCCACTTGGCACTACTGACATTTTGGGCCACATAATTCTTGGCTGTGAGGACTGTCCTGTGCAGGACAGCATCCCTGCTCTCTATCCACCGGATGCCAGCAGCATCCCCCACCTCAATCATGAGAATAAAATATGTCTTCTGATACTGCTAAAAGTCCCCGGGGGGGACAAAACAACTGTTTTATATTTAAATCCAGGATGCTGTTTGGTGCCTGCTTGTCAGAGTCCCAAGATGGAATCAGGTGACTGAAAGGACCAGTTTACTCAGAAACTGGTGCTCAGTAAAACTGAAAGGACCGAGGTGAGTGAGCCCCTCACTATGCCTCGCTCTCTGTGTGGGATGCGGTGGTCCACTCACCAGTGAGCTCCAGAGACTAAATTCTTGAACATCATTAAGGAGTAAGCAGCTACAAACTAGTAATGAACACACTGTCTCCAGGAATAGTGAATTTATGGTGAAGTTTGTGGCCCCTTAAGGCATGGCTGTGAGTTGTGGTGCTCACTACTCTAAGCCTGAGGGGGAAGTCCTTGTACAGAGACATTTAAAAGGCTAAGTGGGAATTTAAAATTCTTATCAGATGCAACATTTTCTAAATGAGCTCTCTTTATACCATAAGACTTCCTCAAGCTTTTCAAACTCAACCTGACTTTGAAGAATACTCCAGAGCTTAACTGTTAACATGAATAGGTGTTGTTTTTTTCTTCTTCAGATTTGTAACTCTATCATCTCTGTTGAATGAGTTCTGGCTTAATGTAACCATAAAAACAGTACTCCTAGGACCACAGGGAACGATCGAATAACCCAGTCATGGAATTCGCACTATTTATCTATAATGTCACAGAGCTTGATCTCTGAATGAAACTGGTGCTGAGTAAACAGGATATGAGTTGCAACAGAATGTGAATTTTCGCCACAGTGGAAATAACTATCATCTTCTGACACTCTGACACCACACTGATGGCTGCCAGGTGGACTCTGTGGCCTGGCTCAGACACTCACCCTCCTGAGGAATGATGCGAAGGGTGACACTGAGACCTGCGTCCTTGATGAGCTTCACGATGTCTGCATGAGGCATGTTGATGATAGACTGGCCATTCACTGCTAAGATCCGGTCTCCCACTTTCAGTTTTGCACAGCGATCTGCAGGACTCCCATCAATGATGCGTCCGATTTTATGGGGCACAGCTAAAAAATCCCCAACAAAAACAGATATCAGGGGCATTGCCAATGCATGCTCTAGTTTTGAGTCCCAGCCCCACAGGAAACAATGTAATGTCAGAATTACTTCTTGTGTCAGTATATTTGCCTTTTGAAATTACAATCATGCCTATCAAATGTGATCCTGTGCATTTGGGGTGTGTCCTATCCACCCTAGGATTAAAAATACAACTCTTTGGGCCTCCAACCTAGACACTGTGAATCGGAATGTCCAAGCAGGAGGTGAAGATCATGAATTTGTAAGAAGCTCCTGAGGAGATTCCAATACATACAAAATTTTGAGAATCATAGGCATAAAACACTGTACCTGCAGAGCTCATACTCTAGAGTCAAAGGCACACAATTTCAGAACGATACAATAATGCCAGGAATTTAATCTTTACCCTTTTCTACTTTACAGAGAAGAGCAAATAGGAAAGGAAATGTATATGTTTACACATTTGGGCTGCAGCAGGCTGGTGTTATGACCAACTCCACTCAGCTACTAATCTTCACTTTAAAGGTTGATGCTGTTTTCAAACCTTACCTCTCCTTTCTGATTTAATTTATTAAGTGCTACCAAGATCTTGCTAACATCTGATACACAATGTGTTTCATCAAATCTAAGATACCATTGACGGTACGACACATCTTTATTTTATGTGCAAGAAAGAAAAAAAGAGCCAACTCTGCCAATTAAACAATCACACCCCATTGATTCTAAGATGCTCTCTAATTTTTAAGATATTAAAATATGAAAATGAGTGTTAGAATTGATGAAATATAATATGTGTCTCTTGAAAACAATGAAAAAAATATTTTTATTATTTAGTTATATGTGAAGAGAGCTAGTTCTATGAGGATATAGGTTTTTCTAGCAGGGTAACTTTTGTTCATGTAAATGTTTGAGTGCCTATCAGGGTAGCTAGCTGGGGTCAGATATCAATGGAAGACAGTGTGCCTGTAACCTCCTTCCAGGAGCTTACAATCTATAAGCGTGTTCCCTTTCCTTTCTTCTTTTAAGACAGGGAGCCCCAGCCAGGATATCACTGACAATGACTCTTCTCCAAGGAAGTCAGGTATTGATTTAATCTGCATAAAGAGGCAAAGAGACACTACACCATTCATTATGCTCCAGGGGTGTCTGATCTTTGAATTCTTAGTCTTGCACATGTGTTACAGCGAACAGCAGAACATCAGCTAATAACCATACTAAAGAAGGACAATCAGTGGGTTAATGAACCAACACCTTGATCATATTTCTATTGCGAAAGGTTATAGATAGCATACAAAAATATTAGCTGAACCTGTGTCTCTCAAGTGAAGCTCAGCACTTTGGAAGCTCAGACACGTTTTTATTTACCACAGGCACCAATGGCTTCAGTTCAGAATACCTTACTTAAAGCATATTCATGATCACCCCAGAATCTTAGGACAATATATTTCTCAAAGAGGAAAATAATAAGAGCTCATTCATTTACTTATTTTCAAAAATGACATAGGTATTGCAAGTTGTTTAATCTTCAACCATAATTAGAGTGAACTTTCATTCATGTTTTTGCCCCCTTTCATATTTAATAAGGTCTTGGACCACTCAATAAATGATCTGGTTTCCCTGGCCATAATGTGCATGTTGCTATGTGTTCTGTGACCTTTGGAACGTTACCTCACTTCCCCTAGTTTCTGTTTTTCAGCACTAAAATTGAGATAGTAATTTTATTGACCTCACAGGATGGTTCTGAGAATTAAATAAATTATCATATATAAAGTGACTAGAACAGTGCCTGGCACTAGGACTTGGCTTATAAGTATTAAGTTTTCTTTCATTCTTTCACTACTGATGTGTCTGTGCTTGTGTGTAGGAGCCAGCTTGAACTCCTTTGTGGGATAAAGCTGTAATACTACTAAAACTAAAGCTACACTTGCTCACTGCAGAGCAATAGCCCCTAAGAATCAGCCGGGAGAACCACTTCATGTGGGAAACAGAGATATGTTTTGGGGATTATATAGACACTAGATGAGGCCCAGAATCCTGTTTGTTTTCCTCTGGTTTCACAAAGAAAAATGTTGCAGGTTTCTGTAGGAAACATCAACCCTTAAGTAAAAGTTTATTATTCAAAGAGAAATCAGCATAATAAAGATCTCTTCATTGTGCACATTGAGCCTTCCACACACATGTAGGTTAATCCTTAACAAATCATCTGAGATTCCTGATAGCATTATCGTTGCATGTTTACCATGGAAACAAAACAGAGACATAAAGTGGGTTAGCAATGTGCCCAAGGTTATACAGGCCAACAGGACCTAGAATCCCAGTGTGCCAGGTCCCATCGCCTTTGCTTTAACCGAGTTACCACACACTGCCTTTCTTGACTTTACAGTCTCTGCCCTCCACTGGAGCACTTGCTTCATGAGAACCTGGCGCTTTTATTTCGTGACTGCATCCTGCCTCCAAGCAGAGAATAATACGCGCTTCGCCAGTGGCCCTGATCCAGGGGAGAGCGGGAGGCTGGAGCTTGGCTCACTGCGGGGTCTTTGCCGCTGGGTTTCTGCCAGGCAGGCATGAGGAGGGAATGGAGGGGAGGGAAGGCGAGAGGAGAGGAAGGGACAGGAAAATTGGACAGCTCCTCAGATCCCTTTCAGTTAGGCCTTCACGTCATTGTGTCATCCCTTTATTTGAAGTCATTTCTTTGGGTAGTAGAAATGCTCACATTGGAAATAAAATTAAAAATACTGTTTAAAACACATCCGAACGGTATTTGGGCGACTTGCTGTTTTGGATTATTCACGTCTCTGCCTCTCTCCGTTACTGTAGGTCACTTAGAATCTATGACACATAAAACCCCAAGTGTTTCAAAGCAAAGATCTCTCTCTCACACAATCACACAACTGTATGTGTTCAACAACAGTAAAAACAACAACAATAAGTCATCATTTGTTAATTTCCAGGCATTGTGTGTGCTAGGCACTTATTTTAAATCCTTAGAGCAACAGTGTGAAGTAGCTGTAAAAGGCTAATAATCATGCTTATTTGATTACTAAGAAAACAAATAGGTATCAAAGCCAGGATTTAGACCTTGAAGCTACTTGGTTCTTTTTGGGATATGGGGCAGGTCGAGAGCAATTTGAGCTGTGAGGAGTGAGGACTTACTTGTGAGACTTAGCTTAGAAAAACATGCTTCTTGAGATTTCCAAATGAAAGTTAATTGTACACACTTATTTGCTTATGGTGATAATTCTTAGTTTCAAGGCCATTTTGATTTTATTAGGGTAGGTAGAATAAAAACCCAAATAAAAGAATGAAAAAGGAAATAAATTCTCTGGTAGCACATAAAATGACTGACTGCTTACATAAAATCTGAGTGAGTAGACAATTTAAAAATGCATGTCCATAATTGGAAGTACCCAATATAGTTTTAATAAAAATGTTTTCTATTGACATTTACTTTAATAAAAATGGTACTTAAAATGCTTGGCAGCTGAAGACAGCCTCACTTTCTCTTTTCCAGCATTTTCCTTACACATGTAAGTAATTGGAATGCTGATGTACAACAAATCATTGACAAGGGGTGAGTTCAGAGAGGATTCTCTCTGAAAACAAGATGCAGCTCCATTTGCTCAGTTATAAGGTCTAGAGAGCTTATGACCTAAGTGCTTTCTGTGAATTGTTAATGGAATTACAGAGCATGGAAGAGGCCCTGACCTTGGTTTCTATTATTGGGATGAATGGTACCCGTTAATTCTCTGAGAATTGATGACTAAGGTAGTGCCCCAGCACAGTCCATTTAGACCGCATGCCTTCCAGACATCATCTGTCAGGCAGCAACATAAATCAAGTCCTTGGATCAGGTTTCTTGACAGTGTGCTTAGGATATACAGATATTTGGGAAAAGTTGCAATATGTCATATGGCTTTAGACATACTGACATTTTGGAAGGAGACAATGTATCACTAGTTAGAAATTTCCCTTTAATTGCAAATCACATAAATTATGGAAAAAGAAACTCATCTTTTTAATTCTTTATTTCTTTCTGGGTAAAACGTGACTGTACTCTTATACTGCAGTGTGCTTTATATTTTCCTGTAAGTGAATTGACTTTTGGCATTGCTTAATATAACTCACTTGTTTTAGGAGGACTATTAGAGACACTCAGTTGGACTGAATGCTCTTAGTTGGACTTTGGTTCTGAAGGCCTGGATTCTTTGGGTCTCTAGCCACACCATTACAGGAAGCAATGATCATCCCCTTTTGCCATTGGGTTCTCTTCTGGGAGCTTAGTATGGTATATTCAGGCTCCTTCAGCCATTGGTTAACCAAAGAGTTCTTGTGGACTTCTATCTTGGGTCAGTTCCCATAAAGAAGATGGATGGTTGCCCAAAGTATTTTTCTTGCTTTGGTGATAGATTCTTCCTGAAATTTTGGGCGATGGATTCTTCCTGAAATATTTAGCTATTCTTGAGGGAAAGAGTAGTTGATCTCTCACTTTCCCCCCACATTTCCTTGTTGTTTTATAAGTATTTCATTTCAGAGAAGAAAAAGCTTGTGACTCATGTTTACATTTAATTGTTTCCTTGTTAATAGATCTCACACAGTGGAGTTATATGTGAAGAAAAGCAGGGAAAGTGGTTCCTGTGTTAGTAGTGTCAAACGTACAAATGAGAAGTTTCTAAAATGAAAGTGATAAAAATAAACACTTCAAAGGCAATCAATAGCATAAATTCTCATTAGCTCACAATTCCATTAATTTGTGAAAGTTAAACAACATGCCATTAGCTTAAAAAAACAAAGGAAGTTAGTTTGGGTTTTGATTCTGTGACCTGATATGAAAAGACTTTTTTTTAATCAGATGATTCCATACAGTTTTCTTAAAATAATCTGTGAAAACTGTTTACTGTTTTGCTTTAAAATTGTGGGTTGGAGCAGGAGGATCAAATACTCCATCAACAACACATCTCTGCAAAGCACCTTCTGGGTAATGGGCACAAGG